TACACTATATAAATCAGCCTATATTATATAAGCTATCATGCCCAAAGGGTGTGGTGGAGGGCAGATTCTTCAATGCATTTCAGAAAGCCTCAACAAGTGTTTCACACTATCTGTAACAGTGATTCTCAACTTGAAAATAAAGAACATATTTATTAGTAAGTAGGTTGAAATGCAAATTCCTGGAGCTCTCTTTTTCTCATACAACACACACACACACACACACACACACACACTCTACTCAGAAAGGTACAACAAGTGAATTTGGCTTATCTTCAAGGCTACAAAACATTGAGTAATGTAATAAAACAAAAATTTTAACTGAGAGTAAAAATGCAAACTATCAATCTATTTAAATCTTTCCCTAGCATTTTATTTTTTTCTGCATTAAACATTATTTCTACACTTTAAAATGTCCCTTATGCCAACTGGAGAATGAACAGATCTTTCTAGAATAAAATACAATTCTATTAGATATAGTGATTTCCAAAAAAAGAGTAAATAAAAGCTTGAAAAGGCAACATATAATAATTTAAGGATCAGAACTTGGTATAAATATGTGGGAATCAGTTTTATAACCCAGACACTGAAGACAGGAGAATAGAGAGGAGCAAAGGAAATCCAAATGAAGAGTTAGTGCTGATTTCAGAAACATCAATATGACAGTGGCAGCGGCCCTGCAGTGAGTTCCCAGGTGTACTCTTAGGAAATCTCACAAACAGGTATGGATGCATTAGTCAGGGACAGGAAATGCATACCTGGGCCCAGTGCAGCATGTTCTGAACAGATGTTCCTGCGGGGCTCTGTGCCAAATAGACATCCAAGCGACTCTGTGAAGAGACAATTTCTCATCTAGAGGCTAATCATACCACAAGTGAACATTTGTGAGAAATTCTATAATTTCTTCTTTTTATTTTTGTTGTTGCTATTAATATTATCATTTAGGGGAAAAAAAACATGTATCATACCCTATTACCATATAACCAAAGAACCCTGTTTAAGCACTTTCTCCTTCCCACAGCTGTTTCTTTGCTCTGGGTGGTGACTTCATGTGGCCCACAGAGGGAATCCCACTGGTTGAAGACAGAGGTAAGGCACCTATTCTTTCCTGACTCCTCACATAGATCAAAGAGTATAGAAGGTCAAGGGATCAAAAACCTTAGCGACCTTCTCCTTCTCCCTGCTAAGTCCCAAAGTTCATTCAGAGAAAGCTTTGATCACAAAACACTAAGAATAGATATGAATGTTTCCTTTTGTTTGCTTGATTTAAAACAAACTGTTAAATGTTTCATGAGGCTCTTTAAAAATTTGTAGGACAGAATTCATTCAATATATTTAGATTTCTTCTGGATCAAAACAACAACAAAAAACCACTATATTCTTTCATATTTTCAGTTACATTTTTTTCAAAATAAATTTTATTTTGAAAGAATTATTTTTCTATCAAAGTGAGCACTAGAAACATCTTGGAGCTTTAAAAAATATATACACTTATTGATAAGCTATTCAAAACTACTGAATAAAAATCAAAATATCTAGAGTTTGGGACATGTTCATTTTTTCAAAATTCCATAAAGGTTACTTACTATGTACCCCTAGTTATGCTTCACTAAAACAAACAGCCTTGCAGATACTGTAATAATGCATAATCCAGTCCCTACAGTGAGAAAAAGGATGATATGATTATGTGTAGAGACGACAAGGGCCTCCAATGAATAGACAAAAGTGTTTTTTGGTAAAGTCTTTATCAAATTCAGCCAAGTTAAGAGGCTACTTTAAAAATTACTGTGTTTTGTGTTTATTTCTAGGTCTTTTGACTTAGCTTTGCCTACATGTCTTCATCTACATGAGATGTTCCCCGTGATAACCAAGCATAGTTTCCCTAGAAAATCGAGACACTAAAAGAGGAGTGTACAAAGGCAGTGGCTCAGTCATGCTTTGCATAGAAATCCTTTTATGAAAGTCTTAACTGCAAGGAAAATTTTAATGATTCTGGCAGAGGACAGTCAGGCTCTGGGCTTGAAACTCTGAGATAAACAGAGACCACCTCTCTTCCTCCTCTGGTTTCAAACGGCTCCTCTCCAAGTGAGAAGTAAACTAACTTCCTGTCTTTCCCCCTTTTGCTCATCAAGTCAGTTAGTGATAACTGAGGAAAGGAATCTCAGTTGTTAGAAGTAACCTGACAAGAACCCCAACACCAATTCCTCTCAGTTTCCCTTGAACACAAAAGCTGTACCTGTCATTGAAGAGCCATCCTTTTATTTCATTTGATTAATGAGTGTTCCACAAAATAATCATTTCCAAATCACCTTTGAATGTGGAAAATTGGAAAAAAAAAGATGTCTAGAATCACTTCCTGAGATTTTACTTTACTTCAGTAGATCTGAGATGTAGCTCAGGAATAGCAAGCTAAACTTCAAAACCACAGCACTCGCCTAACTTTTTCTTTGTGACATTTTTTAGCCAACACCAAGAGTTGGTGAGAAATTTTGGCAGCAAAGCCTTCTTCTCAAATCCTCCTATGAGAATGGGTAAGATTCCCAAACTTGGTTAGAAGCCATGAACATAAAAATTACATTCCAAGAGACAAAAAGGAGACCTTGAAATGTGGTTTCTATGTAACCCAGAGTAAACTCCCATCACCTTGGTGCAGCAAAACCATTGTTTTCTGAGACTTGACTACTTATACATACCATGTTTAGGTTTTGGGGATCAAATCCAGTTACAGTGAACATGAAGTTGCTGCACATATGATGGAATATCTTCCGATTGCACATTTTGGTGGCAATAAATTGTTCCATCAATGTGTGAGGGGAGAACATTTTGTCACCAAACAGTGCCTGTAAGACATGATCAAATTTCATGAATGTGGATGTCAAGAGTGGAAAATGAATGGAAATTCAAACAAGCACTGGACAGGAGGTGACATCAGTTCAGTGTTAATACTCAATGAAACCATGAGTTTTGTTAAATTTTGTCTTTGTAGTCCTCCCAACTCACCTCTTGATGGTTTTTTCCCCCACAAATCTTTAATTGGGAAATATTTTGGCAGGCTCTCTGAAAGACCAGTTCCCATATAAAGCTGGTACAGCTTTGGAGTCAGGTATATCTAAGTTTGATTCAGATTCTGTCTCTTATAATTTAGGAAAGTATTTTAGTTTTTATTTCCCTGAATTTTTCAACTATAAAATGGGAAAATTTTTATCTACTAGGTAGAATCATCATAAAGATAACAGATAATGCTTAAAATACACCTTGTGTAGTTCCTAGCAGCAAACAATAGCTCTGTTATTATGATAAGTGACTGATACAAGTTAATGAGCCAATCCTTCCAGAGTCTCTTAATGCTTAAATTGCTTAAAATGATTTCTTCTAATTGTATTTCAGGCAAAGTTGTGAGTGAGTTAAATGGACCTTATGAACTTCCTTCATATCCCTGTGCATATTAATACAATATTTGTTTTATAATATATAATTTTATAATCTTAGGGTAATAAAATAAGTATTATGTGAAAAGACTTTTTTTAACCTCTTAGAACTTTTGGAAATACCATTTACAGAAAAACTGGCATTTCTTTCTCCTGAAACTCTTTACTAACTGGCAATTATAACTAAAACCCAGTAATAACTGGCATTCATTATTTTTTTATTCCACTAATGTACTACAAAATTTTATACTATCTTTGGTAAACTGGATCCAATAAATTCTTACTAGGTATAACTTTAACTTGTTGAATTCTGGGTTTGAAAAATAGTTATATTGAGGGTTTGTGTTGAAGGATTGGAGGGAATTCTTATTTAATAGAATATTTGATATATTATGAAATTTTAATGTAAAATATAAAATACTAGGAACTAATATTTCTGTCCATATCAAAGAGAAAAAGAAGAAAGGAGAGAGAGAAGGAGAGAAAGAAGGAAAGGAAGAAAGGAAGAAAAAGAGAAAGAAAAGGAAGAGGAAGAAAAATGGTAAAGAAGGAGATGAAGGAGGAGGGAAGAAAAGGAAAAGAAGGCAAGAACTACAAAATATCACACCAGTTCATATTTCTTGATTCTTTAGGTCTGGAAAATAATAAGAGACCATTGAAGATCTTATCAAATACACTTTGACTTTTTCTTCATTTTGTCATAATTACTAGGAATCTTGGATAACATATTGTCATCTATTCAAAGTTCTCAAATGTAACAACTTAAATAAATAGCTACATGAGTTAAGAGCTGAACAAAAGGTAGGACCTAATTTTAATCATTGAACATTTTTATTTTTCATTTACCAATACTGTTTCCATGCTTTAAAAACTAGATGTGAAAAGAAATAGTCAATACATAAAAGTAATCAACCATGAAAATTTGATGTGAAAGGAAAAGGTTATATACCTCCCACAATGCACCCTAGGCGACTAACAGTTCTGGTAGTCAGCTTTCCCCAATACAGGGTTAATTAGCAGGATAGTCTCTGACTTGACTCTCCCCCTACCTATTTACCCAAAGACAAATAATTACTCCTTCATCCTAACCTAAAAGACAGGATTGCAATGCAGGCTAGTAAGACAGCACTTCCAAAGTGGCAAACATGCTAACTTGCAGGTGTAATTCCAATTTGATTCTGTAGGGGGCATGTTTGTCACATAATAGTAGGAAGACAGATGTCCTCTGGTTAGCATCAGAAAAGTCACCCTTTCTTCTGGAGACATGGTTCGATGCAAGGATACATAAGCCCAGCAGAACATGGACTGGATTCACTCTTGTGCATGGGAATATGAAGAACCAGGACTGATTTCTTCAATTTGGTATTGAAAAAGTGGAGAAACCATTACATATAAGCAAACACTGAACTTGAGCTGCCTGATCAGATCTGTGCTCAAGTTTTGGCTCTATCACGCAATTAGCTGGATGACTTGAGAGAGATTGCTTAGCCTCACTGAGACTTAGGTTCTTATTTTTTATTTTACTTTTTTTTGGTACTGGTGACTAAACTAAGGGGCATTCGACCACTGAGCCACATCCCCAACCCCATTTTGTATTTTATTTAGAGACAGAGTCTCACTGAGTTGCTTAGCACCTTGCTTTTTGCTGAGACTGGCTTTGAACTCGTGATCCTCCTGCTTCAACCTCCTGAAATGCTGGGATTACAGGCATATGCCACCGTGCCTGGCTAGGTTTTTATTTTAAGAGATGAAGACAGTACTAAAACCCCTAAAAAAAAATAAAAAACGATAAAGAGGAAAGGATCAAAGAAAGATATAAATAAAAAAATTTGGGAGACAATATTATAAAGATATATATGCTTAGGGGCAGAATGAAGAGTGGAAAAGAGAGAAAGGGAAATGAACAGGAGATTTGTAACACCAAGTACTCTGGCTTTGAATCTAACATAAGTTTGATTAATACAATTAATAACACCAAATAATAATTAGTAAGCACCAATTAATAAACCAGATATGATGCCTAAACATATATTATCTCAGTTGCTATCCCAACTTAACAAATTTTACCCATTTTATAAATGTGAAAACTGAGGTTTAGAATGGTTAAATAACTTGTCCACTGTCATGAAGAGCAGGATGCAGAGGCAGAAGGTGAACATAGTTCTGCTTCACTCAGATTCTTATGCTTGTGCCTTATGTGAGTTAAATTTAATACAAACAGATGAACACTCAAAATTACTTACTGTATCAAAAGAAATATACTACCTGGAACATTCTTTAGCATATATCATATGTTTGCCACAAAACAAATCTCAGTTTATTCCTGAACTGTCATTGATCAAGGAAGAAATTACAAATAAAATTAAAAATCTTCTTGAAACAATGAATAATGGAAGCACAACAAATCTAAACCTATGAGATAGAGCAAAACAAGTACTGAGGGGGAAGTTTATAGTAATCAATGCCTACATCAAAAGAGCAGGAAGATCTCAAGCGAACAAGCTATTTTTTGCACCACAAGAAACTAGAAAAACTAGAGCAAACCAACTTCAAAATAATAAGAATCACAGGAGAGCATGGTGGCACACACCTGTAATCACAGGGGCTCTGGAGGTGGAGGCAGGAGGATTGTGAGTTCAACCAGCCTCAGCAAAAGCAAGATGCTGAGCAACTCAGCAAGACCCTGTCTCTAAATAAAATACTAAATAGGGATGGTATGTGGCTTGGTGGTCAAGTGTTCGTGAGTTCAATCCCTGGTACCAAAATAAACAAATAAATAAATAAAATAAAATCAATCACAGGAGAAATAACTAAAATTGAAACTTTAAAAAGAATATAAAAGATCATTGAAATGATCAGGTTTTTCAAAAGCATAAACAAACTTGATGAACTTTCACTTTGACAAACTAAGAAAAAAGAGAAGACTCAAATAAATAAAATCAGAGACAAGAAAGGAGCCATTGCCATTTCAACAGATACCACAGAAATATGAGGATCATATAAGATTATGATGAGCAAGTATATGCCAACAGATGGACAATCTATAAGAAATGGACAAATTCTTAGACATATACCTTGCCAGGACTGAGCAGAGCAATAAAAAGTAAAAAGAATCACTAATAAAATGTCTCCAAAGAAAAGTGCAGGACTAGATGCCTTTGCTTCTGAATTCTACCAAATATTTACAGAAGAACTAGTACAAATTCTTCTCAAATTATTCAAAAAAATTGACATGGAGGAAATTATTTTAATCTCATTTTATGAAGCCAGAATTACCCTGATACCAACACCAGATAAAGAAATAACAAAGCCAGAAAGCTAAAGGCCAATTCCTTGATAAGCAGATGGAAAAATCTTTAACAAAATACTAGCAAACCAAACCTAACAGCACATGTAAAATGTTATTTGCCATGATGGATGGAACCCATCCCAGGGATGCAAAGATGATTCACCATTATCCAAATTAATAAACATTATATACCACATCAACCAAATGAAGATCAAAAGCCATATGATCACCTCAATAGATAGAGCAAAAGCATTCAAAAAATTCAACATCATGATAAAAACTTTGAACAAATTAGGTATAAAAGGAATGTAGTTCAATATAATAAGAGCCACATGTTAAAAGACCACAGCTAACACCATACTGAATGAGGAAAATGGAGAGCTTTCTCTCTAAGATCTGAAACAAGACAGGGATGTTTCCTGTCATCATTTTAATTCAATATGGTAGTGTAATCAGTCAAAAATAAATAAATAAAGGGCATCTAATTTGTAAGGACAAGTTTGAATTATCATTATTTGCAGATGATACAATCTTTTACAAAGAAAAGACTCACCAAAGAGTCCACCAAAAGTCTATTAGAAATAATAAATGAATTTGACAAAGTTGTAGGATACATGGTTAACATGCAAAAACCAATATTGTTTCTACCTACAAATACAGAATTACCTAAAAAAGAAAAGAAAAAAAAGAAATAAAGTAATTTCATTTAGAATAGCTACAAAAATTAAAATGTGTTAGAATAAATTTAACCAAAAAGGTAAAAGATCTCTGCAATGAAAATGATGAATCACTAATGAAAACAAATTGAACAGGACACCAAAAAAGTAGATATTTTGTGTTCATGGATTGGAAGAATCATATTGTTAATGCGTACATACTACTGAAAGAACTCTTCAGATTTAATGCAATACTAATTTAAATACCAATGACATTCTTCACAAAACTAGGAAACATTCTAAAGTTCATATAGAGATGCAAAGAAAACCAAAGCAATCTCGAGCAAAAGACTAAAACAAGAGGCATTACTCTATCAGACTTTAAAATGTAAAAGTATCTTAATCAAAACTGGATGGTATTGGTATGAAAACAGACACATAGGCTGATGAACCAAAGTAAATAGCCTAGAAGTAAATCCACACATCCATAGACAACTTATCTCAACAACTGTGCAAAGAATACGCATTAAGGAAAGGTTAGCTTCTTCAATAAATGGTGCTGCGAGAATTGGACATCCACACGTGGATGAGTGAAGCTAGACTCTATTTCTCACCATATACAAACATCAACTCAAAATAGATTAAAGCTTAAATGCAAGAACTGAAACTCAGGAAGCACAGAGAAAATACTTTAGGACATTGGAATGTGCAAGGATTTTTTATATATTTGATACCCAAAAAGCACAGGAAAAAATAGACACAAGAGATTGTGTCACACTAAGTAACTTCTGCACAGTGAAGGAAACAATCAACAGAGTGAGAAGACAATCTAGACAACAAGAGAAATATTCTCAGATTTAATCTAACAAGAGATCAACATCCAAGACATGTAAGAAACTCAAGTCAATAGAATATAGTCTAATTTTAAAAATAGGCAATAGACATTTCTTAAAAGAAGACATGCAAATAGCCAACAGGGGTATGAAAAATTGCTCAACCGTCACTCATCTTCAGGGAAATGGAAATTAAAGCCACAATGAGTTATCACTTCACTCCACTTAGAATAACTATTACCAAAAGGATAAAAGATAGCGAGTGCTGGTGAGGATTGGTGGGAATGTAAATTAGTACAGCCATTATGGAAGACAGTATAGAAGTTCCTCAAACCAACAACAATCAATCAAATCAGCTCTCACTTTAGCTGTGATTGAGGGACGAGATGAAAAAGAAACTTCTAGACATAGATGAAGACACCAGGGTAGAATGGCATCAAAATGAGCTCCCTGAACCCTGCTAATAAAAGTATTCCTTATCAATAAACCGACAAGGATACCTCAGAAATCTATTATATTCTCATATGTCTGTAAATTGTCATTTGTCTTCTTTTGAAATCAGTGGAAACCTATATATTATTTCAGTCTTTTACTTGGGAAGTTACATACCTTGATGGTTCGCCTGGAAAGAGTTGTTAATTTTTTTATAGGACTTCGGGTGTACTTCACCGTGACAACTGGTGCCAGTGCAAAAAATATCTTAATTCGCTTAGCCAGTTCTGGGTTGGTAGAGAATGCAATGAAAGCTGAAAGTGAATTAGACACTAGTTCATAGGTTTAAAACAATTACTTCTTTATTTTAAGTGATAGTAAAGGTAGACACATGAAAAACAAGACAAAACAAAAAACAACTCAGAGTAATAACCATTTGTGAGGAGGAATTTCTAAGTTTTTCAAGGATGGGAATGACTGATTCAGAATCAAGTGAGTTCTTTCATCCCAGGTCTACTTATATAGAAGTGGAAGAGAGGGTTCACACTTCTCTGTGAAGTGTGGTTAAACCCAAGGGCCATTCCAGCTTGTGGTTTGGTGTCAGACAAAGTCACGCTTGGCCTCACATTCACTAGCTGTGTGAAAGTTACCTCTCCAGTATGAGTCTCAGTTTACTCAATCTGTAAATTAGGATAATTGGATCCTTAGAGAATGATTCATATATATGAATACACAGATATGAATATATATAAATGGATAATTCAAATTTTATATATAAATCATCCTCTAAGGATTCTTAAATTATATATATATATATATATATATATATATATATATATATATATATATCTATCTATCTTAAGGTATTACTTGGCATTGTCAACATTAAAAGATAGCGAGTGCTGGTGAGGATTGGAAATTAGGGGAAAAACCCTAAATTCAACTATTTGTGCAATACAGATATTGGTCTCTGATGTTTGTAGTTTCTAATGAGAGAAACAGAGAGAGGATGAGGTGCCTCATGGTTCTACCCACATGGCCCTACCCACATCCAGCCTACCTGTGCTTCCCTGGCAGGCAAAAGCCACATTGATTGTAAAGTACAATCACAATTTTGTAATTCTCTGCTTTCTTTTTTGTGTCCTTTTCTAGACTGTGATCATCAAAGGAAGGATGGATATCATATTTATCCCCTCTTCCCCAGTATGTAACCCAAATTCTCACAAATATTCATTGGGTACATAATTGAATAAACAAAGTAATTCTCTCTTTCAGACCTATCAACCTCCAAAATTCAATGTTGGGAAAAAATTCCTTATTGTCATCCTTGTTTTCAGAAAACAGCCAGAGGATATTGTTTCCCTTTTAAAGTTCCCAAACTAGAGACTCTGCAGAGAGATACTGACCCTGTTCAGAAATATGGAAGAGCCCCCACCCCTCCCCGCATTCTCTGATCACATCGACCCCAAACACACCTATGGTGGTGCCCTGAGAGTGGCCCACATAGTAGAGTTGCTCTTGTCCAGTTTTCTCTATGATTAGATTGATTGTGGCTGGAAGGTCATATTTAGCCATCTCATCCAAACTGCCAAAAAAATAAGAACAATAAAATTGGAAAATCTATCTCGTTTTAGACCTGCAATATTTAACATTCATTGTAGACACAGATACTCTGTTTTTATAAAATATGAGACTAGAGTTAATATGTGATATTATGTATCTGAAAAACTTTTTCCAGGATCTTACTTTGATTTGACAAGACATTTTTAACAAACAGGAATCAGAGAAATTTAATTTGTAAAGGACTACTAAACTTTTCCTGTAAAGCTAGTCCTATTTCATTTACTCTCACAGCAGATTTACCAAAAATCAAAAAAAAAAAAAATGGAAAAGAAAAGACAACAATTTTTGGAATGCTCATCTAAAATTTAGAATAATAAATCAAACAGATTCATAGACCTTAGCCTAGACTGGACTGAATCCGATTCCCGGGAAGAGTCCTGGTGATGTGTCTCTTTGTGGCCTCAGGTGCTTCTTGATTCTGTGTATAGCTTGGGAAATACTCACCTAGGAAATCATCTTGTCACTTGCTATAGTGCAATGACAGAACCACCTTGTGGTGTGTAATAAGGAAATGCCAACTGGTTTCCAAAAGGAAGGCAGGAATGAGGTAAGGAACAAGTGGCTTTGGTGACCTCCAAGGCATGATTCTTAGGAAGAGGTGAGGGTGAAAACCAAACAGCAATACAAAATAATAAGATTTATCCTTCTCATGGATTCTAATGGGTGCATTGAGACCAAAGGAAAAATCAACAAGTGTTCTTGCATATAAATGAGCAAGGTACACACTTTATTCATTAACATGTTTTCCCTTACCTAAACGCCCAGTATTCTGAGGACTTGGGTGACAGTTTCAGGTGCTTTCTGGACCAGGTGTTTCCTCGGCTGTTCCCCATCCATACATCATAACCACTATCTGCCAGAAGGAAAGCCAAGCTGTTGTTGGGGAGGTTACAGATCCAGTCACTGGCAGATGCAATTAAGCCATGCTGCAAATACACAACTGGTTTTGGAGCTGCAAGACACAGGCGACAAGATGTTCATGTCCAAACTTCCTTAGTGTCTACATGAAAATCCTCTTTCCTAACTTTTTAAAGTATACAAGAGAGGTTAAGACCTGAAATTTGGTGTCAGGCAAACCTGGGATCTAGACTTTTCTTAACTATTTGGTGGGCCAGTGATTTATCTTCTCTATGTCTTATCATTTATAAAACCGAGATTATGCATAATGTTTTATGCTGTGTAGGTACTGGAGTCAAATTGCCCTGGTTCAAAATCCATTTTGCCATGTATTAACCGCTTTGTGGATCACTTACCTTATCTGCATAATGGGTATAGCATTTTATTTCTCAAGAAATATTTTAAAACTTTAAGGTTTTCTTGAAATAATAAAATGACAATCAAAACACCATTTGCAGAATGTTTATTGAATGCTAGGCACCATGCAGATTCTATAGGCCATTTTTTTGGCAGGAGGTGAGTACCCGGGATTCAACTCAGGGGCACTCAACCACTGAGCCACATTCCCAGCTCTTTTTTGTATTTTATTTAGAGACAGGATCTCACTGAGTTGCTTAGCCCCTCACTGATGTTGGGGTTGGCTTTGAAAGCAGGATCCTCCTGCCTCAGCCTCCCAAACCCCTGGGATAAGAGGCAAGCAAAATGCAAGGCCATAAATAGAATTTCACACAATGTAAAATTGTTAACTGGATCTAAAAATACTATTTCCAATGTAAAATTGAAACATTTTTAACTAAGAAAGAAAAAAGATGCCTGTGATCCCAGCTATTTAGATTGCAAGTTTGAGGCCAGCCTGGGCAACTCTGTGAGACCCTGTCTCAGAAAAAAAATGAAAAGGACTGACAATATAGCTCACTGGTAGTGTCCCTGGGGTCATTCCTTGGTAGCACCAAAAAAAGGGAGAGAAAAGAAAGAAGAGGAGGAGGGTAAGGGGAGAGTGGTGTTGAAAAAGAAAGTGAGGGAAGAAGAAGTAGCTAAGTAACTAGAATCTTTCTCTTCTTTCTCTCTCTCTCTCTCTCCCTCTCTCTCTCTCTCTCTCTCTTTCTTCTTTCTTTCTCCAGGGATTGAACCCAGGGGCGCTTAACCACTGAGCCATATCCCTAGCCCTAGTTTTATTTATTTTTATCTTTTGAGACAGGGTCTTGCTAAGTTGCTTAGGGCCTTGTTAAATTGCTGAGGCTGACTTTGAGCTTGTGATCTCCTGCCTCAACCTCTCAAGCCACTGGGATTATAGGTGTGTACCACCATGCATGGCTCTCTTCTTTATAAATAGTTTGTGATGCCATGTTGGTACCTCAAAACACTATGTCGGGTCCCTTTTGGAACTAGACTTGATGTTCTGAGAGTGAGTATGCTAACTTAATTCTCAGAGAGATTTAGTATTTTCAAAGTAAGAAACTAATGTTCATGTCCATCTAGTCACGTTTTGGAGAGAAGGGAAAGAGTGTTATTAGCACTGCCAAAGTCACGACCTGCCAGGTAGCTGTCATAGCTCATATCTCTCAATGATCTGAGCCCTCAGGCAGCTGTTTGTTGTAGATATTTCTATTGGGTACATTTTAGCAGCTATGGAGCAGAAATGAAAAATGTCCAAGGCCATTTAAAAGATGTAAAGATTTAAAATACTCTCCTGAGTATTTTACAAAAGCATTGGAGTTATTCTGGCAAATAGTTGACTCTATAAAATCAGAAGCATCATTATTTCCCTCTCTTTTTAAAAATCTAGATTTTTCTTTAATCCTTCTGATATTGAGAAGTTTTGTTCTACAACATACCAGAGAAGAACAGGGGCTGAGAAAATGAGAGAAAAAAGTAAACGGTGTTTACCAAATGGATTTCCCCCTACCTACAGACAGCAACCTTCATGTAGGGAGTTAGAAATGACCCTTTTATAAAATTTAAGCAAAGAATTATTAAGGTCATATTTACTTCACAAAGGTAAAATCACACTGTCTTGAGTAGAGAGTGATTATAAGTAGCAGTGATTGCCATTTAGAGGTATAGTAGTAGTATCACTAGATTGAGTGACTAAAGCTGAGAGAAGCTTTCAGATTAGAGAGAAATTTAGAAGGCATAATTGATAGTCTTTGGTGACTGGCTGTAAAACAAGAGCTGAAGAAAAAAAAAAAGTGGTGTCCAGAATGGCTCCTAGGTTTCTGATTTTCAAAACCATACTCTGGTATCACTGAAATAAGACACAATTTTTTTTGTTGTTGTTGTCGTATGTCTCTTGTTTGTTTGAGAAGAGGACAAGACAAAATACATGGTGCATATGAAAATGATTTAAAACTTCAAAAAGTTATACAAGGAAAATTGGGGGACAATTTCCTTACTCAAATGAACGACTGCAACCTATTTTAGAATGAAAGCCTTTCTGCTGCTACCAGGATGCTACTAGGCATTCATGCTTTAGGTGTTTTTCCTTTCATAACAAAACAAATCATACCAGTTTTCCTTGGGCATCTTCTTCCATGAGGAATCCTATAAGTTCCAAGGATATAGCCATCCTTTGTCACAACATCATACTTTTCACAAGGATAACCCCAGTAAGAAACAATCTGACTCTAGAACAGGGAAAGAAAAATACAAATTGTGATATCATCTCTTACATTTTTTTTTGCACATATTGAAATATAATAGTATTTTAAGTTGCAACTTCATGTTCATCAATCTATATGTTGGGACAGTATACAATGGGGAAAATTAGGATGATTTAAGGGTTTCTAGAAGGGATTGCAAAGGCATAGGTAAGGCAGGGTGGGATGACTCCACGTGCCAGTTTCTACATCCCAGACTGCTCAGGACAGTATGTAGTTTTGCCTGTTGACCTAGAATTATTAATACACATTAGTTCATTCTCAAAATGTTCTGATACAAATTTGTGTGGCCATCTAATGAATGAGACCACAGGATTGTGCAGTACCTTGTTACTTATAATTGAGCAGAAAGGGCAACATTGAGGGAGATAGCTAGTTGAATTTGATTTTCACGGGGTTGAAGGTAGGGCAGTGAAAATACCTGACCTCATTCTCCCCTTTTTTATATAACTTGTGCTTAAGATTTTCATTAGCAAAATGGATCTGAAAATCAAAGATGAAGGGAGCTTTTCAACCTAGTCCTTATAGATCAGCCTCTTGGGCAAAGAGAAAGGTATTAAAGAACTGAGGTTGTTAGAAGGGTCAGTAGAAGATACCCAACCACAGATACACAAGAAAGAGGGTGCTGTGGGATATCTTCTGCATAGAGCTTTCTATGTCCTGTCTCATTAATCCTTACAAGAGACCTTTCAGATAGAATTGTACCGATTTTACAGTTGAGAAATATGAAGTTCAGGAAGATTAGTGACTTGTCCAAGATTATAAACTAGGAAAAGATAAAAACAAGATTGATTACAGAAAAAAAATTCAATTTCTTATAATAAAACCATGCATTTGCCTCTATCAGCACATAGATGTGTGCATAATTTATGAGGCTATCTAAAATAGAGGTTAAGAACCCAGATTCTGAAGAGAGACTATCTACCACTGAATTCCTGTTCTGCTTCTTATTAGCTGTTACTCTAGGAAAGTTACTTAACCTTTCTGTGCTCATTTTACTGTTGAGATAATAATAGTATCTCCTCACACATATGTTGTGAGGATTATCTGTAATAGATGTAAGACAGTGTCTGGAACAAAGAAAGTTTTTTAAAAAAATGTTTGTTATTCTTACAATCATTATAAAAGGATGAAAAGCCAAAAAGCACTCAGACTAGCAAGGAAAAATTGTGCTTTACTATGGGAGGAAGAGGAAAACTTGAATTTGAGGACATACATTCATGGACTGTGAGTTCGGCAGTGTGGTAGGAGGTCTAGGAAGCCACCATTAGATGGTAACTCAAACCACCAGGAGAGAGAATATTGCTGCACCAATTTAGGTTACAACTCCTGGATTAGTTAGCCATGCCAAGGAACGCGGGAGAAAGCACAGATTTAGGCACTGGAAGAATTGCTGAAAACCAGACCGTCACACCAATTGTAACTAAAATGATGACTAATTAATAATTCCTATCTTAATGGGCTTTTTCAATGCGTGACTTACAATATTCATATTAGCTTCAGGATTTGTAATGCTTCCTTTCTTACAACCATATATAGGTCCAAGAAGAAGCACCCAGCATGCTGTTGCTAAAAGCTGCCACATTTGGAGTATGCCTGAGAAAGGAAATATTAACGGATTTGTCATCAAAGAGAAATTCTGCAAAATGAAATCTGGTGTATTCTTTTTATAATACTATTTTATTTACACTACTATGGGAGAGAACAAAAAACATATACTTCTAGGATATGCTTTAGCAAGTAACATACAGAATTATTCAGAAATCATTCCATGAAAAATTTTGTATGGAAGAAAGGAAGGAATTGATAACATCTTTAATTCAGGGCTATATCTATTGGAAAAATAATAGGGACATTTTTAAAAGTCAGACTTCTCTCTCAGGGCATTGAAAATTACATGTCCTGGTTTCTGCTTGAATGATTGGCATTTTGAGGCTTTGGAATCAGTTATTGGCCAGATGATCTTGGTGTCCCTGGGGTAGAGCAGATCTTGCTCTCTTCTGAAATCTCCAAGTTAGAGAGCATGTGAGGACTTGTAATGGTGCAAGGGAAGAGGACTATGTAACTAGCACAGTATGCTGCTTGTAGGAAGAGCTGGAATCTCCCAGGGTGGCACCAGAAGGAACAGGTTGTTTTTTGTAACCATGACGTAGAGCCCAAAAGCTACCTTTGTTTCAGTCTTCCAGGTAATGGAGCTGGATATAAAAGGGTGACACACCCAAGCCAGAGAAGTCTCCATGTGTCTCATTTTATAAGGAGGAGCAAGCCAAATCCAAAGAGCTTCTTTTCAGGCACCTCTTAACAGGGTGTGCTTCCCTGCTTGGCCCAATCTAAGCCTTATATTATTAACCATAATTGTTGGGTAAGTCTGCCTGATTGAGGTACCTCTCCTTAATGATAACTCCAAGAGTCCTCATCTCTTTGACCTGTTTCTATGACAGTTCCCTGATGAATATTGTCTTCTTCTGTGTCCCATGTTGACATAATGCTTGTTCTCACTAACATCTATAATGATATTACACTAAGAGGAGATATTATAATTTCCAGGAGATTTTCAGTCTTCAAAGATGAGACTATTGGTCTCAGATACCCACATTAAATCAATATAGGTTAATATAAATATAATCAATAATAGATATGTTGATCTATCACTCTAAATCAGCTTCACACTGCTGATCTGTAAAACATGTCTCCAATGGGTATTTGTAAAAAGGCTTCATGTGTAATCTTAAGTGAAACTACATATGATTAATACAATTAACATATATTAATCTATGTATGTATATATTACATATATGACTTTATTAGAGAGTCATATAGAAATGCTCTAAGTATGACTTACAATTTTATTTGCTGTTATGATTTTACTGCTTGAATAACACCAATTAAACATATTATGACCTAGATTATAATATGTTTAATTACAATTTTGATATTTGTTTATTTCTATACTCACTATACCACACACATACAGAAATCTGTGTAATGCAGGGAAAGCTAAAAAAGGATGCAAATAGCTCCAACTCAGAACCTTATCTTTCAAAAGTTTCTTCAGGAAGATACCTCCATGACCATGGATAGAGCTGCTACAGTCTTACCCAGATTTGGTTGCAAATGATAATATCAGTATATGGCTGTATGTATTTTCCCCTAGCTATTGAAGTCAGGGGTAATTATAAAACTTTCAAAAAATATTGTCTTATTGCATTTTTTGTTTCAAACTAAGTTTAAATATTTCACATCAAATGCTTGTGGCTTATATATAGGCAGCTCCCATAAGTAATGCATTTTACATTGACATGTATATTGATGATAATATCAAGGATACCAATTTCTCAACAAAGATTATCAGAAATAATAGAGATCTTCATTCCACACTTCTCATTGCCCCATAATAGGAACTGTCAGGTTCATCAAACAGACATTCAACCAGAATTTATGCCCATGCTTAGATAGTATATGTGATTAATCCACATCCTAATTCTCCACTATGGTCAGAAATGAGGGAGAGAGTTGGCTAGAATATGCAGGTACAAGCACCCTACAGGGAGCTCTAATGTGCTTTGGTTGGGAAAGGACATGAAGGCCAGTGTTTACATATGACTCTCTGATGAATCTGTTTGCTCAATGGCAACATAATGGTAATAATGAGTGGTTTTTGAAAAGTTTGGAGTTGAAATTCTGGCTTTGTCCTTCAGAGATTAAGTTAGTCATGAAAATATTGCTCTCAGATTCTTAACTGCAGGAAGCAGAACTGGACGTTACCCACAGCTCCTCTTCTCTCAAACCTATCACTTCTTCCACCAAAGCCACACACTGGAGACACTTTACAAGTATTGGCAATTATAGTTGTTGTTATTATTATTAGTCATGAGACTATCATTAGTCAATTTAACTTCCCTTGAGACTTAATTTCCTTACCTGTATCATTGTGATAGTATCACCTACCTATGGGGTTATCTCCCAATAATAAATAATGACGCAGCGAATAAGATGAGAATGTCTATAAAACATCTATGATATTTGACTCTGAATAAATGGTAGCTATTGTTATAACATATCTTGTATTATTCTAATAATGTTTGGCTCTGAATAATGGTGGCTATTGTTATATCTATCACTCAGTGATTCTTTCAGATGTGTATGTCTTGCTCTCCACCTCTGTCACAGGCTTCTTTAAAGGCAAGAACCACCTTCTATACTTTGCTTGCATTCATATTGTTCTTATCATTTGTGTCTCTAGCCTTCTTCATACAGCTTTGTCTTAACACAATTCTTTCAATTTAATTGTGAAAAATGACAGCATATTTTGTATAATACTTCTCAGATATGAACATGTAAGAGCAGTTAAGAATTTGTTTTCATTACTTTGATCAATAATTTTCAATTTTGACTACATAGAATGCCCTACCTACTTAATCTATAATTTTTATACCATGGTTTGCGCATATACATGTTTAATCTTTGTAATTATTATTTTTTCCACAGATAGTAAATGTCAATTTAAAATTTTGGCAGGATCAATTTTATTCATTTTTTAACTCATTCTTATTCCCTCTAATAAAATTATTCTCAATAAATTAATTGATAGGAAATTCTTCAAAGTATTCTGCAAATAGACATTATAAAGCTCGGGCACAGTATAACTCATGAGAAGATTAAAACAGAGCAGCAGTTTTGTCTTAACAGATTTTAGTATTGAATTCTTATTCCTGACAAAATAGAAAATGAATTAGAGCCCAGAAATATGACAATATCTTTTGTATGCAGGTTACTTGCCAAGAAAATAAAAGAAATTTAAAACAAAGCCAAAGACTATACTTTCAGGGATCATTTCCATAGTTGATCACTAAAACAAAGCCTATAGAAACATGGCCAATAAAATGTACGTAAAATGTGTGACATCTTCACAGCGCAAGGAAATTATGAAAATTATGTATTTATATATGTAATATAAATTATATATTTACAATCATGTACATAATTGTAAAAGGAAGCCAAGTGTAACATCAATAAAAGCCATGATCATATCTCTTGTCATCAGTGACAGCACACATTTTTGTTTCATCTTTTCTTGATCAGTCTGTTCAAAGAGATTGAAATAAGAAATCTCTATCCATAGGAAGACAGAGTATGTGGGAGGTAGAAAACATGTAGTAGATAATCATTTGGAGAAAAGGATAAAAGATCCATTATTATTTATGAGGATAAAACATCCAATATTATTTATATGAATGTAGAGGCAAAGCAACTAGATGAAAGAGCCTCCTTTCCACCCTGAAGAGAGAAAAGTTAGAAAGAGGTGGAGGGAAGGAAGAAAGGAAAAGGTAGTGTAGGAAAAAAGTGAGAGGAAGGGAGGAAGGAAGGGAGGAATTGTACAGAAAACAACAAAAGTGTACATAATTGTAAAAGGCCATCTGGGTGCTATTATTTTATTTAACTTCTGACTTAATTATCTATGTTTGAGCAATTCCCCGTGTCTAGTTGTTGGTGAATAATACTCCCAGTAGACACAAAATACACTTGAATTATTATTTCTCTATATTTCTGAGTGAGATGTTAGCCATAAGCTTACGGCATCATACATTCAGCTTATTTTTCATTCTGTTTATCATATTACAAAGTATTTTCCCAGCTGTGCAAAGAGTTGGTGGAGTTTATTATCCTCTTCTTGACCATAATGTAGAATTAGAAGTTCCTGGGAATGATGAAAGAGCTTAGAGGAAGACTAAAAGGCAGAGATGAAGACCTACAGTTTGGGCCTTCCTTTTCCTATCATGGGTAATACATGGGGCCAAAATGTCATGCCCTGAAGAGCCTGTCTTATAAGGCTGTTGCAGTTTTTGAAAGATCTCATGTTAAAAGGTAGCCTATTTAACTCATGAACAATTACAAAATCCAGGAATCTAAGGCAGGATGCATCTTCATTTTTAGGAAGACATAAGAGCAGATGGATGCCTTTGCTGCATTTCCAGATTCATACCAAGCCTGACCTCTCCTTTGATATCCCTTGAATGAATGTATCTGGAAGCCCTTAGAAAATAATGGAAGCAGGCAGAAGGACATTCCAAAGGAATCTGGTATTCACAACCAGGTACTTCGCAGAGGCTTTGAGAACTTATTCTTGAGTTTATTATTTAAAGAAACTAGCTGACAAAACAGATAAATCCCAGGGTCTCACAGGTGGAATCTCTCCTGCTGTCTCTTGGTTACCTGCCCCTTCCTGTGCTTCCCAGGTTTGACGCCCAGCTCCGTCATTTGCCAGCCACACCCACATGTCTCCACCTGCCCCCCACCTAGCAGCATGATGTGTTCTGTCCACTGAGCACTCTTCACCCCCAAACTCATTCCCTCAAGTAGCTCTCACTAACCACAGGCTTTCATACATTTTCTAGATGAAAAGTAAGTATAAGTACATGAGCTCTACCTTGATAGGTCATCTGGGCTCTCATCCCACATTTTCTTGAACCAAATCCACTTAAATTTCTTTTTGGAAACTTTAATACAACATACCCCCTGAATAAAATCACCCTCTTTTCCTCTTTCCAGACTACTTTTCTCTTTTCGATTCTAAACTGCTTTTCC